ATGAGCATTCCTCCCAGCTGCAAGCTGCCTATGCGCACGTGGGCCCAACTGAGTACCATGGCTCTGGAGTCTCAACCTTGTAGATTTCCTGGGTCCCCTCGATTCTCTGCCACAGTGTCTCTGTCCATCTCTGGGTCTCTTGGTGATGGCTTGCAGAGTTTCTCTGCTTCTGAGCTCTCCCCTCTCTGGCTGGCCATCCTCATGTCTCAGCCTGTTTTTTTCAGCTCACCATGCTCACCCCTCTTCCCTCTCATAGTCTGGTCGCGTCTCTCGTCGTTTCTCTTATCTTCAGGTCTGATATTCTCTCCAACCAGCCCTCTCCATTTGACCCTTTCCATTCCTCGTCACTTCTCCAACTGACTTTCTCACTTGCTTGTTCAGTCGTGTTTTTTTTTTTTCCTGACGCTCCATTTTTCTCTCTCTCCAGTTCCCAGTCTCTATTACTGCCTCTCCCTCCATCATGACTATTCATCTGCATTTCCCCACCTAACCTTTTGTCTCCCAGTTCTGACGCTTTACTAGCTAACAGCGCTCCTCACTTATCAGGTACTATTCTAAATCACCTATGTATATTTATATGCACAACTACATACATACACACAGCTACACTTTCCTCGTGTTAAAAAGGTGCTATTTGGGGTACCTGGGTGGTAGAGCTGGTTAAGTGTCTCTTGGTTTCAACTCAAGTCATGATCTCAGGGTCATGAGATCAAGCTCCACATCGCTGGACTCGCTCTCCCTCTGCCCCTCCCTCCTCCTTTAAAATAAATCTTAAAAAAAAAAAAAAGGTGCTATTATCACTCCCTATTGTACTGAGCCAACGACAGGTTAAGTACACAGTGAGACAAGGAATTCAAATCCAGGGAGTCAGGCTCCCATTTATTCCTCTTCATCTTCTCAGTGTGATTCTCCGTGGTCTGGCTTTTAAACTTGACACTGTCTTTTCAGTTCTCTTTGCTCTCCAAGTTTACCAAATGCACGCTCTCTCCATCGAGCCCCATTTCTCCACACTCCAGATGGCTCTCTTCACTGGTCTGCCCTAATCACCCAGTTCCCATCTATCTCACTCACTTCCCACCTCCGGCTTTCTCTCCAAGTCTCTTTCCCTTGGCTGCTCTTCCCCTTTCTCAGTCCCTCCATTCAGCTTTTGCCAGGTTCTCCCTATGCCACTGCCTCCATCTCTATCTATCAGTCTCTCACCATTAATGAAGAAAAGTCTAAGATGGAGCTGCGAGGCCAGAAGGATGGGGGAAGCTCTCCTGCGATACCACCTGAAGTTAGTACTGGAAGAACTGTCAATTATAGGCTCCAACAGAATTGCCGACAGGAAAGAATCATCAATTACAGGTGCCAACAGGGAAGGAGGTACAGCTGCATCTCCCACAAGAAAGCGACCACCCCAGCAACTCAGCCAATGAGAAACCACCAACACCCCGAACTCTTGCTCTTCTCCAACCTACTTTCCATTCAAAACAACCCCTCCCAACTTCCTCCTCCTTCTCCATAAAATTATCTTCTCTTTGGTTGGACTAGCCAATGGTTTTTGCTGTAGCTGGCTTGTCCCAAGTTGCAACTCGCAGTTATCCCCAAGTAAACCCATTTTGGCTGGTAAAATAACTTTTAAGGTCAACGAGTGTTTTGTTCCTCCGTTTGAACCGCCCTCTTCCTCAGTCTCTTTCTGTTCGCTAGTTTCCCACCTCCCCAAGTTCACGGTGCGACCACATTTCTCTGCAGCCTCTGGGAGGCGCTCTGGGGGGGACCCCATCAGCTCCTTGGCCCCAGTTTGCGGCTTCCGTCCTCTCTCCGCCTCCCCGTCTCTCGGTCCCTCAGCTTCTCCGAGCTTCTTTTCGTGGCTCCCATTTCTTCCAGTTTCGAGTCTCTGTGTCGCCCAGGTGCTGTCGGGGCGCTCAGGCTCCATCTCCGTCCGCTTCTCCCGGGCCCCATGTCTCCTCCAACACATGTTCCCATGTTGGAACTTCCCTCCCCACCCCTCGGCTCGCTCCCCAACTACCCAAGCCGGTCGGACACCCACCGCCTCCGCCGCCACGGCCCCGCACAGCAGCCCCGCCACCCTCACCTCACTAACAGCCGGAATCGCTCCAACTTCCGGTCCCCAGCGCCCCTCACGCGCCCGAAGCCGCTTCTGCGCCTGCGCGCGCCGCCTTCACTGCCAGGCCCCACCCCGCCGCAGGCAGAGGAGCCAGTGTGCAACTGGGAGCGGCCAAAACGCACTCTGCGCCTGCGCACAACACGCTCCAGCTCCGCCTCTCTTCGAGGGGTGCCAGGGGTGACGCTGCGCCGTCTAGAGGTCGGCGGTAGCGCTGCAGCGGAGACTTGCAAGCGCCTCCGCCCGGGCGCGCGCTCTACCCTTCCCGTGAATCGTCTTTGCAACGGATCGCCCGACGCCAGAGAGAAAGCTGGCGGGAGCCCAGACACTATTAAACTGCTTCTGTTGGGGCGCCTGGGTGGCTCAGTCGTTAGGCGTCTGCCTTCGGCTCAGGTCATGATCCCAGGGTCCTGGGATCGAGCCCCGCATCGGGCTCCCTGCTCAGTGGGAGGCCTGCTTCTCCCTCTCCCACTCCCCCTGCTTGTGTTCCCTCTCTCGCTGTGTCTCTCTCTGTGAAATAAGTAAATAAAATCTTAAAAAATAATAAAAATAAAAAACTGCTCCGGTGATTTATTCACTGTAATTCATAATTATTAATGCATAATTCTATTAACGTATAATTCACTAACAAATAATTCAACTCCCCAAATAGAAGGCAGGGGCCATTCTTGTCTTGGAGGTCCTGTGTTGTCCAGCGTCCACCACAAGTATCAGAGAGTCGGTAAATGTTGTTGAATGAATGACTAAATGAATGAGAAAATAGAGCCCTCTCTCGTCCTAGGTGCCCCAGTCATTGTGGGTCTCAGCCTCAGTTTCCCTATTTATAACAGGATAATATCTGCTTTTCAAGATTGTTGGGGAAAGTAAGTGAAAATATATACATAAGGTACATAAATTGCTTTTTCATTAATGTACATAGTAGGCACTCAATAAATGTTAGATCTTTCATTCATAGTATATCCTCCCAACATTCTCCTTTTTCCTTAAGAGAATGTTGCCGCTGAGAAGGTACAGCCTTCAGTTCCGGAGCCAGTTCTAGGTACTGAGAACATAGCAGTGAACAAAACGGATCAAGTCCCTGCTCCCGTGGAGCTCAGGTTTTAGTAGGAGAAACAGACATTTAAATATCTTTACTTAGGGCGCCTGGGTGGCTCAGTTGGTTAAGCGACTGCCTTCGGCTCAGGTCATGGTCCTGGAGTCCCTGGATCGAGTCCCGCATCGGGCTCCCTGTTCGGCAGGGAGTCTGCTTCTCCCTCTGACCCTCCCCCGTCTCATGTGCTTGCTCTCTCTCATTCTCTCTCTCTCAAATAAATAAATAAAATCTTAAAAAAAAAAAATTTTAAATATCTTTACTTAAATAAAAATAAAAAGAATGTCAAGCAGTACCACCACGCTCTATGGAGAAAAACAAAGCAGGAAAGGGGCAAGGAGTCGTGTTATTTTAAGTAGTGTGGTCAGAGGACAGCCCCAAGGAAGCAGTATTTGAGCAGAAATAAGTGAGGCAGCAAGCCATGGAGATCCCTGGAGGTGAAGGAAATCGCAAATGCAGATTGCCATGGCAACATGGTTGGTGGGTTCAGAGGTCAGCAAGCTGGCTTGTGTGGAGGGAGTGAAGGAGGGGGGCATAGCAGGAAATGAGGTGAGGAAAGGAGGAGAGTAGATCAGGCACACCACGGTGAGGACTTTGGCTTCTCATCTGAGTGAGGTGGGAGCCATGGGAGGAGTTTAGCAGAGGAAGGACCTGAGACACGATCTGAGTTAGATTTTTTTTTAAAGATTTTATTTATTTGACAGACAGTGGGAGAGGGAAGACAAGCAGGGGGAGCGGGAGGGGGAGAAGCAGGCTTCCCACCAAGCAGGGAGCCCGATGTGGGGCTCGATCCCAGGACTCTGGAATCATGACCCGAGCCGAAGGCAGACGCTTAATGACTGAGCCACCCAGGCGCCCCAAAGATCTGAGTTAGATTTTAACAGAATCTTGGGCTCGTGTGTGGGGGAACAGACTGTAGGGAACCAAGATGAGGAAAGAGGACCAGGGAGGCAGCCGGTGCAGTAAGTGAGAGATGGTGGATCAGGATGATGGCAGAGAAGGTGGTGAGAAGTGGTCGGATTCTGTGGATACTTTAAAGTAGTGCCCAGAGGGGTTGGCTGACAGATTGGCCATTGAATGTGAGAGAAAGAGAGGCGTCAAGGATGACCCCAAAGTTTTTGGTCTCAGTGCCTGGAAATAGAGAGTTGCCATCAACTGAGATCAGGAAAATAGGGAAGGAGGGCTGAGAGAGAAAATCCAGAGTTCCATTTTGAGCGTATTCGAGTTTGAGTTATGTGTTGGACATTGATTTGGGTTGTCAAGGGGGAAGTTGGATGCAATTATCAAACCTTTGGAAAACAATTTGAACGTAGAGAAGGCAATTCGTAAGTCATCAAAAGAAGAAGGGGAAGAGGGACGCCTGGGTGGCTCAGTCGGTTAAGCGTCTGCCTTCAGCTCAGGTCATGATCCCAGGGTCCTGGGATCAAGTCCCGCATCAGGCTCCCTGCTCCGTGGGGAGCCTGCTTCTCCCTCTGCCTCTGCCTCTCTCTCTCTTTCTCTATCTCTCGTGAATAAATAAATAAAATCTTTAAAAAAAAAAAAAAAAGAAGAAGGGGAAGAAACTGACTAAGCACTGTTTGAACTTTCCAAAAGAGAACTACAACTTCTTTTTAAAGAAAAATGGGAGGAAGTAAACAACAAATATGACTTCAAGATATGTGTCACAAACTACCAAACCTAGGATTGAGTAGCAAACTTGAAATTCGTTCTTAGAAAAATATTCAGACCTGGTGCTTTGGAAACAATGCTTTGGAAATCAATGTGTTCAAAGAACAAACAAAATTAAGAACAGAAAAGGGGAAATTACAACAAACAAAAAGCAAGATTATTTTTAATGACCAAATTCCACAGAAATACATTTAAGGGGCACATGGGTGGTCAGTCGATTGAGAGTCTGACTCTTGATTTCTGCTCGGGTCATGATCTCTGGGTCCTGGGATCGGGCCTGCATCGTGCTCCATGCTCAGTGGGGAGTCTGCCTGAAGATTCTTCTCCTCCCTCTGTCCCTCCCCCCGCTCTTGTGCACTCTCTCTAAAATAAATAAATTTAGGGCGCCTGGGTGGCTCAGTTGGTTAAGCGACTGCCTTTGGCTCAGGTCATGATCCTGGAGTCCCGGGATCGAGTCCCGCATCAGGCTCCCTGCTCAGCAGGGACTCTGCTTCTCCCTCTGACCCTCCCCCCTCTCATGTGCTCTCTCTCTCTCAAATAAATAAATAAAATCTTTAAAAAAAATAAAATAAAATAAATTTTTAAAAAAGCGTTACATTTGAAAGCTTCTGTGAAATTGATTTCTTCTTTAAAAAAAAAAAGTAAGGCTGATGCAATAATAAATGAAAATAAATTTTAAAAAAACCACAAAAGACTTTTTATAAATGTATTGAAGAAGAGCTCTCTTAAATGGCACCTGGCCCCAGTGGATTAACAACAGGATTTCCCCCAGCTGTTCATAAAGCTCTGTAAATTGTCCCAGGACATAATTCATTCTACAAGGGAGATTGGTCTTCATAACTCATGCATGTCAATTCTGAATAAAACCCCAGGACTAAAATATGTATTGGTGAGGACCTACTATGTGTACCTATACCAGAAATAGAAAGAAGAGATATCGGGGCGCCTGGGTAGCTCAGTCAGTTAAGTGTCTGCCTTCGGCTCAGGTCATGATCCCAGGGGTCCTGGGATTGAGCCCTGTGTTGGGCTCCTTGCTCAGCGGGGAGCCTGCTTCTCCCTCTCTCTCTCCCTGCCACTCCCCCTGCTCCTGTTCATGCTTTCTCTCTCTCTCTGTCAAATAAATAAACAAAATCTTTTTTTTTTAAAAGAAGAGATAGCAAGAAAGAGAGCTTCATCACTGGGGAGCTCACAGTCTAGTTGGAAAACTGGATGTAGACAAATAAAGATAGTTTTGTTATTTCTAAGGCCTGGGAATGGGTGGAGAAGAAATAAAAATAAAAATGGCTCAGATATTGCCCATGGGGAATTTACAGCGTACCTGGGAACTTGTGTTCCAGAAACTTAACCCAGAGAAGAGAACACTACTCTCTCCCTCGGAGGGGAATGAATCAGAGAGGACTCCCTGGAGAAAGTGTCATTTGAGCAAAATAAGGACGGAAGATTTCAGAGATAAGAGCATGGGCACTAGAGTCAAGTGAACATGGGATCAAATCTCAGTTCTATAATTTCTTTGCTGGGTGATCTTGGGCAAATGACCTCCCTTCTCTGGGCCTCGTCTTATAAAAGGAAGCATCTCCCCTTACTTCCCTGTGTTGGGGTAGGACTTATCTTAAAGGGGAAATTCTATGGAAGATGCAGTCCTGTAGTAATGACCCTACATTCAGGTGCCACTACAATGACTTCAAGATGTGAGCGGGTGAGATCCTCGAGAAGCCCTGTCTCGTAAAACGTCCGGAAGTGATGAAAAGGTTCTGTATCTGCACCACCCCGTATGGCAGCCGCGAGCGACACTGGGCTATTGAGCTTCGAACTAGCAGCTGGTGCAACTGAGGAACTCAATTTTTTACTTGAATTCATTTGCATCCAAAGAGGAACCGACAGCTGGTGATTACCAGATAGGGCAGCACCGATCCGAAGGGCACGCTAGGCAGTGGCACCAGCTTGAGAAAAGGCCTAGAGGCATGAAAATGATACAGCCCAGAGGATCTGTCCTGGTCTCCTGTGACAGCTGTAACAAGGTGACCACAGACTTAGCGACTCAAGAACAGTACAGATTTACTCCATTAAAGTTTTGGAGGTCAGGCATCTACAATCAAAGTGTCGGCAGGCCCCTTCTGGGGCTGCATTCCTTGGCCGGTGGCCCCTTCCTCCCATCACTCTGATATCTGCTTCCACTGTCAAATCTCCTGCTCCTGACTCTGACCCTCCCGCCTCCCTCTTATAAGGACCCTTGTGATTACCTTGGGCCCCCCCAGATAATCTAGGATCCTCTTCCCACCTCAAGACCCTTAATCACAACTGCGAAGTTCCCTTTGCCATGTATGGTCACATATTCCCAGGTGCAGGGGATTCGGATGTGGACCTCATTAGGGGGCCGTTATTCCGTCCGCCACAATGGTCTGCACAGCTAGAACGTAACTGTGTTCAGTGGCAGAGAGAAGCCTCGACTACCAAGCTAAGGAGCTAGGACATAGCCTTTCCTTCAAAACAGAGCCATAATCTGTCACCTTCTCACCTGCCTCTGCTAGTACCCTGACCCAAGTGAACATCACTTCTTGCTCGGACCATGGCAGTAGTCTCTCTGCTAAAGCAGAAGATCCTCATGTCCCTCCCCCACACCCCCATAGTCTAGTCCCCACCAGCAACTAGAGGGATCCTATTAAAATCTAAGTCAGATCAAGACACTTCTCTGGGGTGCCTGGGTGGCTCAGTCATTAGGCATCTGCCTTTGGCTCAGGTCATGATCCCAGGGTCCTGGGATGGAGCCCCGTGTTGGGCTCCTTGCTCAGCAGGAAGCCTGCTTCTCCCTCTCCCACTCCCCCTGCTTGTGTTCCCTCTTTCACTGTGTCTCTCTCTGTCAAATAAATAAATAAAATCTTTAAAAAAAAAAAAAAAAGACATTTCTCTGCTCAGAATAGGGTTGCCTGATTTAGGAAAAAAAAAATTTACAGAATGCTCTCTTGAATTTGAATTTGAATTTCAGATAAACAAATAATTTTTATTTCTTAATTTATTTTATTTTATTTTATTTTTTTTAAGATTTTATTTATTTGCGAGAGAGAGAATGAGAGACAGAGAACATGAGAGGGAGGAGGGTCGGAGGGAGAAGCAGACTCCCTGCTGAGCAGGGAGTCTGATGTGGGACTCGATCCTGGGACTCCAGGATCATGACCTGAGCCGAAGGCAGTCGCTTAACCAACTGAGCCACCCAGGCGCCCCTTGGATTTTATTTTTTTAAGATGTTTATTATTTATTTGAGAGAGAGAGCGAGCCGTGGGGAGGGGCAAAGGGAGGGGAGAGAGAGTCTTAAGCAGACTCCATGCTGAGCATAGAGCCTGGCTCGGGGCTTGATCCCATGACCCTGAGATCATGACCTGAGTGGAAACCAAGAGTTGGACGCTTAACCGACTATGCCACCCAGACACCAGTAAAGATTTTATTTTGAAGTCATCTCTATACCCAATGTGGGGCTCAAACTCACAACCCTAAGACCAAGAGTCACAAGCTCTACAGACTGAGCAGCCAGGCACCCCCAACAACATATAATTTTTTGAAGTATGTTTCAAATATTGCATGGGACATACTCATGCTAAAAAAACAAAACAAAACAAACAAACAAACAAAAAACCCCGTTTTCTTGTTGTTTATCTGAAACCCAAAACCCAAATTTAATTTGGTGTTGTATATTTTATCTGTTAACAGTAGCTCAGAACACTGCCATGGATCTCCAAACACTTGCTATGGCCTGGAAGGCTTTCAAACCCAGCCCCCCACCACCTCTCTCCCTTCGTCTCACTCCACTTTCCCTCTTGCTCCCTCTGCTTCATTCACATTGGCCTCTTCACTCTTCCTGAAATGTGCCAAGCATATTGTGCCTCAGGGCCTTTGTACTTGCTGCTCCCTGTGCTTGACATGCTTTTCTGCCAGATTTAAGCATGACTCCTTCCTCCCTTCCTCAGGTCTTGGCTCAAATATCACCTTACCCAATGGGCCTTGCCTAGCTTACCTAAATCCCTGCCCCACTCAGTCCCCTTTGTCCCCTTTAGGTTGGCACTTGTCACCACTTGATATATTCCATATTTCTTTTTCCTTTGCTTATTGCCTGTCTTCCTCCAATAGAATGTCCGTTTCCTGAGGGCAGGGATTTGTGTCTGTTTTAGTCACTGCTACTTCCCCAGTGCCTATAATAGGGCCTTACACATAGGAGGTGCGTAATGAATGCTTGTTGAATGAATAAATAAAGAAATGATATCATTGAGCTGCTGGATCCAGCTATGCCTGAAGCCAGCCTTGCGAAATCGGATGGACTCACACAAACCAGTTTCCTTCTAGCCTACACGCCCATCTCCGAGACTAGATCATGGCTGGTGGATTTCTGGCTGACCGCATTTTCATCCTTGCTCTGTGACTCCTTCAGGGCCCGGCGACAGGCGGCTGGCAGTGACCTTTGCAGTTGAGTCCTCCCGAAGTACAAGAAGAGCATGGGGTTGAGGCAGCTGTGAGCCAGAGCGAGGCCGTTGACCAGCGCTTCAGCCCGCAGGGCCCCGGCCAGGAGCGCGGAGTGCGGGGCAGCCGCGGTGATTACCAGCCCCAGCAGGTGGTAGGGGGTCCAGCAGACAAAAAACCCCACCACTACGGCCATGCCCAGTGGCCAGCGGTGTCGGGCCACGCGGCACAGAAGGGCCCCGTGGCAGCTGGCCACGACCACCAGCGGCCCCAGGAAGCCAAAAACAAAGCGGGTGGCGGTCACCGCGTTCTCCACCACGGCGGAGCCTCCGTAGTCCACCACACACGCCAGCCGGCGAGGGAAGTGCTCCTGGTGCAGCCGGCGGTAGATGGCCGAGGGCACGGTGAGCAGCGAGGCCACGGTCCAGGCGACCCCGCAGGCTACCTGCACCCCGCGCGCCCGCCCCGCCGCCGCCCCCCAGCTGGGCCTGAGGGCCCGCAGGCAGAGGTCGGCGCTGAGAGCGGCCAGAAGGAGCACGCTGGCGTACATGGACAGCAGGATGCCCGAGGGCAGGACCCGACAGCCCGCCGCCCCGTACGGCCAGTGCCCCCCGCGCGCGATGGCCACCGCCAGGAGGGGCAGAGACGCACAGCAGAGCAGATCCGCCGCGGCCAAGTGGAGGAACCAGGCGGCGCCGACCCTCTGGCGGGCCTCTTTCCAGGTCACCCAGGCCACCATCGCGTTGCCGGGCACGCCCACCAGGAAGACCGCGGCGTACAGCAGGAACGGGGCGGTGCGCAGCGGGTCGGTGGAGACGCAGAGGCCGTCCGCGCAGTCCACGGGCAGATCCGGAACCCCGTCGTAGTCCGCGTACTCGTAGCTGAGAGAAGTGTTCTCCATCCAGGCCCCGGACACCTGAACCGGAGAGAAATCGTGGGAGCTCCTTGACGAAACCCTCAGGCGCCTGGAATCCCCGGGTGTGGGAACCCCCACTAGCCGCTCGGACGCGGACTGCGGCAGCTGCCGATCTCCAGTGCATCCTAATACCGGAATTCTAGAAGACTACCCTCTTAGAACTCGCTGCGGGAATAGTGCCACGTCGGAACCCCCGCAGGTTAGAATACCGGAATTCTAGAATGCCAGAGTGTGAGAACACTAGCTCATGAGCATCCTGGAATTCTGGAATATTACAATGTTAGAACCCAAGCTTACTCGCATCTCGGAATTCTGGAGTATTGCAATGCAGAAAATGATCGTGATTTAAAAAGATATATTTTAGGGGCGCCTGGGCGTCTGCCTTCGGCTCAGGTCATGATCCCAGGTCCTGGGATCGAGCCCCAAATCGGGCTCCCGGCTCACCGGGAAGCCTGTTTCTCCCTCTCCCACTCCCCCTGCTTGTGTTCCCTCTCTTGCTGTCTGTCTCTCTGTCATATAAATAAATAAATAAAATATTTTTAAAATATATTTTGGAATCCCAAAATATTATACTATTAGAACCCCAGCCAATTATTATTTGGAACTGTAGGGCCGCGCTGTGATCCAACATTCAGCGTTGATGGAAATGTTCTTAAAAAAAAAAAAAAAGATTTTATTTATTTATTTGAGAGAGAGAGCACGCGAGAGAGCACAAGCAGGGTGAGGGGCAGAAGGAGAAGCAGACTCCCCACCGAACAGGGAGCCTGATGGGGGGCTGGATCCTGAGACTCTGGATCATGACCTGAGCTGAAGGCAGACGCTTAACCAACTGAGCCACCCAGGCGCCCCTAGAATTTAAAATATTGGAATCCGAATATCCATCAAGAGGGGGAAAGGTTAATATGTATTGACAGCAGGGGAGCCTGGGTGGCTCAGCCGTTAAGCGTCTGCCTTCGGCTCAGGTCAGGATCCCAGGGTCCTGGGATCGAGTCCCACATCGGGCTCCCTGCTCTGCAGGAAGTCTGCTTCTCCCTCTCCCACTCCCCCTGCTTGTGTTCCTCTCTCACTGTGTCTCTCTCTGTCAAATAAATAAATACAATCTTTAAAAAAATATATATATATGTATTGACAGCAAAGGCCCTGAGGTGAGAACATGGTGGTCATGTTCAAGGAACAGCGAGGATGCCAGTGTGGCTGGGGTGGAGTAGGGAGGCAGAGAAGGGGAAGGTAAGAACAGAAAGATATCGTGGACCATGGGGCACACTGTGAGGACATTATCTTTTATTCCACATGAGATAGGGGCCACAGGAGGGTGCTGAGCTGTGAAGCGACATGATCTATCATAACAATAGCAATAATAATAATTATATATATTATATTATTACTATGATAATAATATAATATATAGTAATATATAGTAATATTACTACTATAATAATATATAGTAATATTATTATTAATATAATATTAATATAATAATATAATAGTAATAAACTAATATATCATATATTAGTATTATATATTAAATATATTAAACAAATATTATATATTAAACATATTAAACAAATGCATTAATATATATTTTTAGGGCGCCTGGGTGGCTCAGTCGTTAAGCGTCTGCCTTCGGCTCAGGTCATGATCCTGGAGTCCCGGGATCGAGTCCCACATCGGGCTCCCTGCTCGGTGAGAAGCCTGCTTCTCCCTCTCCCACTCCCCCTGCTTGTGTTCCTGCTCTCGCTATCTCCCTCTCTGTCAAATAAATAAAATATTAAAATATATATATTTTTTATATTATGGATAATTTACTATATATTAACTATATATAATAATATACTATATTATATATAAATATATAATAATATACATATACTATATATAATATATAAATATATAATATAACATATAAATATATAATAATAAGTAAATATATAATATACTATATACTATATTATATATAAATATATAATAATATACATATACTATATAATATATAAATATACAATATAATATGTAAATATATAATAATAAGTAATATAGATTAATACATTAATACATTATATAGTGATATAATAGTTATTTTTACTTTTATAATATAGTAATATTAATATATAATTATATATTATTATTACTTACTATTATTATATTAGTAGTATTAGTATTAGAAGCCACCATCCACTGAGCACTTTGTGTTATGTGTTGGGCATTGCTCCGGGTGCCTTTAAATCTTATATCATTTGATCCTTATAACAACCCTCTGATTTTAATACTATCCTTTTACCCGTACTATCATTGTACCCATTCGGCAGACAAGAAGACTGAGGCCCAGGGACGTAACTTACCGAAGATCATTCAGCTAAGCAAGTAACAGAGCTGAGTTTTGAACTGTGTCATCCCCACTCTGGAACTGCGGGCCCTAGAGCGCATTCACCCAAAAACCTTAGATTCAGGAGACAGACGGCAGCACAGCCGGTGGCCCTAAGCAGACCCGGGCTCCGTAACTCAGTTTCAGTTGGCTCTCTCTTGGTTTCCTCATCTGAGCAATGAGTCACCGAGGTGAACCTACCTCACTGGTTTAGGGGAGGCTTTGTGGAGTTGACGTGTGATAAAGCAGTAAAGGGCTCGGGTGGATGGTAGACCCTAGCCCCCCAACGTCAGCATGACCTGCCCCTGAGGCTCTCTGCTGGCTCTCATGGGCGCTCCCCAGAGCTCTAGCTGGCACTGACCCAACAGGAAAAGCGGAGGGGAAGTTGGAGTGTTGCCCTCTGCCCTCTCCTCCCTGCCAAGTAGTTGCCAAGAGGCCCAGCCACTTGTGTGTGTGTGTGTGTGTGTGTGTGTGTGTTTGGAGTTTGGCCTGCTGCTTTCATATTATTTTCGTCACTAGAGTAAAAGGTGTGCAGCTTTTAAAAATTCAAACCCTCACCAGCTGTGTGACCTTGGGCAAGTCACTTAACCTCTCTGTTCTTCAGCTTCCTCGCCTGTAAAATGAGAATAATACTCTTCCTACCTTAGAGGTGTCACGAGCGTTCAGGAAGCGAATCAGAGTGGAGAGCTGAACGCAGTGCCTGGTCCACAGCGAGCATTAGCTGTGAGGTAGCAGCTGGTACCTGCTGGTACACACGCCCTCTCTCCCACCCTCAAACCCCACCCTGCCCAGCTTCTACTGGTCAAAATCCAGGAAATCTTCTGCATGTTGGCAGCTCAACCAACTGTGGTATTTCCCTTTGAATATACCAAACAGAAATGCAACATCCAAAACCCACTGTGTCATCTCTTTATCTTTTCCACATAATGAATGTGTTTTCGATCTGTTTCCCTATCTGCACACACATCAGCCCTTTCCTACAGCAGCTTGAGTATCAGCCCGCTGGCTGGATGGGCCATGCTCACCAACCAGCCTCGGACTGTAAATAAAGGACATTTAATGATAATCACGAATAGCCTTATTATTTTATCCTCATTTTGTACAGTAAATTTGATTCATATAAAAAACAATGAATTGGGCGCCTGGGTGGCTCAGTTGGTTGAGCAACTGCCTTCGGCTCAGGTCATGATCCTGGAGTCCCGGGATCGAGTCCCGCATCGGGCTCCCTGCTCGGCGGGGAGTCTGCTTCTCCCTCTGACCCTCCTCCCTCTCATGCTCTCTGTCTCTCATTCTCTCTCTCTCAAACAAATAAATAAATAAAATCTTTAAAAAAAACAAAACAATGAATTGTATTCATATAGTTATATATATACAAAACATAATTACCATCATCATCACTATTATTTTATAGCAATTAAGATAGCAGATGACATTTATCCAGCATCTATTATGCACCAGGCATAATCCTTATAACAACTGTATGAAGTAAGAACTATTGTTATGCCCCATTTCCCAAACCGTCAGCTACTTTGGGCTCCACCGTCTCCCCAGCATCTAGAACGGCATCTGGCAAAAATCAGGCACTTCGTTGGTATTTGGTGAGTAAAAGAATAAAGAGCGAAACTGAGGCACAAAGCAGCAAAGGGAACACTTAGGTTTCTTTCGGTTCCTTAAGCTCACAGGCGCCCGTGTGCACGCTCTTGGCACGTGTGTGTTTGTAAATCAGCTAGTCTTGTCAGAACTTCTGCTCTGGGGACCCGTGGGGCTGAATTGACTTAAACCGAACATAGGATACTTCGCCCCTCCCCCCAGAGAAGCATACATATGCTCATCAAAAGACGTGTGCCAGGAAAGACATGTTCACGGCAGTCCCTGATGGGAAACCACCCAAAAAGTCACCCCAAGGAGAATGAATAAACATACCATGGTATGGGGCACCTGGGAGGCTCAGTCGTTAAGCATCTGCCTTTGGCTCAGGTCATGATCCCGGGGTCCTGGGATCGAGCCCCGCATCGGGCTCCCTGCTCCGCAGGAAGCCTGCTTCTCCCTCTCCCTCTGCTGCTCCCCCTGCTTGTGCTCTCTCCTCTCTCTCAAATAAATAAATAAAATATTTAAAAAACATAGCATGATATATTCATGCAGTGGAATACTCTATAGCAGTGAGGATGAACAAACCACACACACAAATGTGGATGGATTTCATACATATACTGCTGGGGAAAGAGGCAAACAGACACGCAGGGGAGGTGACTGAGTGATACCATTCACATCAAGTTCAAAAACGAGCAGAAGAGTTCTGTGGGGGGTGGGTAGCGACTGGGGGAACAGGAGGGCACGTCGGCACTAGGCTTGTGTTATTCCTTGACCCGGGTGCTCAGTACCTGTGTACATTTGGCTCGTGGAGATACACAGAGCTTCCCAGCTCTGACGTGCGTGTGTCTGTTATCTGTGAAAATAAAGTTAAAGCTTCTTTCTTAAGAAGTGGAATTGGAGGGGCGCCTGGGTGGCTCAGTTGGTTAAGCGTCTGTCTTGTGCTCGGGTCATGATCGCAGGGTCCTGGGTTCAAGCCCCACATCGGGCTCCCTGCTCAGTGGGGAGTCTGCTTCTCCCTCTGCCTCTGCCTCTGCCTCCTCCCCCCTGCTCATGCTCTGTTTCTGTCTCTCTCTCTCTCTCAAATAAAGAAATAAAATCTTTAAAAAAAAAAAAGTGAAGTTGGTGAATCGAAGGGCTAGTTCACCGGACAAGTGGCCATTGGGTGGATTATCCAGAAACTGCTGGGGTTCCTGGAGTTTGGAGAATCGTCCTTTGCTGTCACCTGAGTGCACCAGATATGTGGACCCTTTGACCAAAAGCTTTTCTGTTGGGCCGCCGAAGTGAATTCCAAGAGCCTGGAATTCCAATGTAATGGTGATAAGATCCCACCTCTCAAATTGCCGTTTCTGATTCCCAGATTCTGAAAAGAATTAGCCTACAAAGCCGAGATGGCCAAATGCCACCCTCCTGTCCTTGCCTCCCTCTTTCCCTCCATCCTTACCGGCTCTTGTAAGAGGATCCTCATCTTGACCAGATGCCACTCAGAAGCCTGATCCGGGCTCACAGCCAGGACCCGGGAGGTCTGGGGGTCTCTCCCGGCGTCTGGCAGCTGGTGGATTCCTGGAAGTTCGTCCCCCTTGCCGAGGCTCCTAAGGGATGCCTCTCAGCACTGCCACCTCACGGGCCCCAGCCAATCTTAATAACCAGGGGAAAACAGGAGTGGCCTTTTCGTACTCTAAGGGTGTGTTTGTCCTGTATTCTTCCCATGACTCACACATCCCAAAATTACTGGGCAGCAAAGGAAGGTGGGTGGAGAGTTGACCCAGTGTCACCAACCCCAGTTTATCAATGCCATCTGTTCCTGGAAGCTAGACCTGCATGCAGTTTGACCTTGAAGGCCTGGAGGTCTTCACTCTCACTTCCCCGGGGGGCCCTCTGGGGTCATCCTCAGGGAGCACCCACTGCCTGCTACCCGCCTCCCAGCCTCCAAATGTATACCAGCCCCCTCTCTCTGCTCTCTGCAAAGCCTTGAAGACAGATAAATATTCCTCCCGCCTTCCGTGTACTTAGAGAAACAGCTCAGGGTCACATTCCCCACAAAAGGGCCGAGGTCGTCAACCACAGGGCAGACAAAAACACAAACAAATCATATCCCTCCTGTTCCCCCAGTTTCCCGTCTTTGAAGTGGGAGGATGTTGACCGTCGTGGTCCCTAACCTCACTCCCACCACAGGCGCCAGGCCGAGAACGTGAACTTGAGGGCCAGAATGACGAGACTCATAGTCCAGGTCCGCGGTGGGTGAGATCCAGGGCCTCGGCCTCCCTGGGCCTCAACTTCCTCATCTGTGCAGTGGATGTTTTGCCTTGAGCAATACATGGGTGAAGAGATTTCAAGCACATCCGTGGGTGCCCGGCTCACCGGCCCATCGGCTGTGCCTCCCTACGTGTTAAATTAACAATGACGAAAAGAATACAATAGAAATTGTTAAAATGTACATTTTAAGGGCACCTGGGTGGCTCAGTTGGTTGAGTGACTGCCTTCGGCTCGGGTCATGATCCTGGAGTCCCTGGATCGAGTCCTGCATCGGGCTCCCTGCTTGGCGGGGAGTCTGCTTCTCCCTCTGACCCTCCCCCCTCTCATGTGCTCTCTCTCATTCTCTCTGTCTCAAATAAATAAATAAAATCTTTAAAAAAAATAAAATAAAAAATAAAATGTACATTTTAAGAAGGCTTAGCAAGAGGAAGTGGTTCTCCAATTTCAGAACTCTTATTCAGCAGTTCTTTTGTGGCTGTATACTTCTCTCTGTGCATGCTTTGGGTGGAGGGGATATATTTACACATTTCTTTTGATGTCCTTTAGGGAATAAAACCGTGTTGTTAGAGGAAGTTGTTCTGGGCGCCTGGTGGCTCAGTTGGTTAAGCGACTGCCTTCGGCTCAGGTCATGATCCTGGAGTCCCGGTATCGAGTCCCACGTCCGGCTCCCTGCTCAGCGGGGAGTCTGCTTTTCCCTCTCCCGCTCCCCCCCTTCTTATGCGCTCTCTCTCTCTCTCTCTCTCTCAAATAAATAAAATCTTTTAAAAAAAAATAGAGGAAGTTGGTCTGAGTCAACAAACTGGAGCTCACTGCGTGACCTGTGACATCTCCCGGCCCCTCCCCAGGTGACCATGTCTTGGCTGAGCCTTGTCGTGGCCCCAGACCCTCCCGATGAGACAAACGCCCCTTCTATCCCCTCCTGCCATGCTCTGGGAGGCCTCCTCATCTCCCACATCCTATGGGAACCCACCCTGGTCAGAGAAGAGACGAGCATGGCAGAAGCTCAGGGTGGGGACTGTCCTTGATCAGCCCAAACTTCCACTGATCTCAGATTTACAGGAGTGTGTCTCTCAGATCAGTAGAGCTTCCTAAATGCCGTGGTCACTGATCCTGAAGTGCACGTTTCTCAGATTCTGGGGGCCTGAGGTTTTCTGGTGTCCCTAGCGCTGGGGGCTCTTCCCTGAGGGCTGGGGGATGCTGGGGGCAGAGGCCAGGGTCTCCATAGCCTGCAGATGGCTGGGGGTGGAGAGCGGGCATGGGGGGAGGGAGACACAGCTTTTATAGAAAGGGAGGGCTGCTCTGGGTGTGGGATTCCTTTTTACAGCCACTCCGAAAGACGCCAAGTACCAGCCCCTCAACACGGGGGGAGCTAGAAGAAGAAGGACCTTAGACGGTTACATTGACATAGGAAATTGCCATGTTGTGGGTCAAAATAGGTTGGGTGGCACCTGGGTGGCTCAGTGGGTTAAGCGTCTGCCTTCGGCTCAGGTCATGAGATGGGATCAGCCCACATCGGGCTCCCTGCTCGGCGGGAGCCTGCTTCTCCCTCTACCTCTGTGGTTCCCCCAGCTTGTGCTCTCTCTCTCACACACACAAATAAATAAATTAAATCTTTAAAAAAAAAAAAAAGTTTGCATTCCGGCAAATCTGTAACGAGAAAGCAGATTAGTGGTTGCCAGGGGCTGGGGGCCAGGATGGGGTTTCTTTGGGGTGATGAAAATGTTCCAGAACTAGGGAATGGTGACCGTTGCACCCCACTGGGAATGTACTAAATGCCATTAATGGTGAATTTTATGTCGCTCATATTTTATAATTTTTTAAGTAATAAATAATGAGCCGTTACACCCCCTCACCCCAAAATGAGATGAAGTGTGGCAACTTCATGGAGCTCAACCTAACATAATTTTTTAATTAATTAATTTTTTTAAGAGATTTTCTTTTTAAGTAATCTCCACCCCCAATGTGGGCTCGAACCCACAACCTCGAGATCAAGAGTCACACGCTCCACCGACTGAGCCAGCCAGGCGCCCCCAACCTAACACAATTATAGAAACCTGAAAGGGTAAATGAATGCCCAAGATGGGGAAACAAGTCCCTTTTGGACAATGTATATTATTATGTGATATCTGATGCACGGGAAAGAGTGTAGGTAACATCAGTGTAAGCTGATCAGTAAAAGAACAAGGACTAAATATTTTAGTTTTTGCTGGCCAAGAGGTCACTCGAGGTTTCTGTCACAGCTACTCAGTCTGCCTTGGTGGAATGAAAGTAGGCACAGACTGAATGGCCACAGCTGTGTTCCAATAAAACTTTATTTACAAAAACAAGCAGTGGGCCGGATTTAGCCCCAGGCTGGAGTTTGCCGACCCCCGATCTAGATCAAGGACTCTGAAGCGTTGAAATTACAGACTCGTAGAACATTGGAATCACAAGCTATTAGGTCCAAGGGATCCGACAGTGGGAGTCACAGACTATTTGAATCATAGGATTCTAGAACCTGGGAGTGTTAGACATATGGAGCTCCCGCTGTTGGATGTTATAGAAAGGGAAATTTGTAGATGGTCTGGACATTAGTGAAGGAGTCCTAGCCCTCTGCTGTCCAGTATGGTAGCCGCTGGCCCCAGGAGGCTCCTGGGCATTTGGAATGTGGTGCATCTGAGATGCTGTGAGTGGAAAATACACTCCAGATTTCAAAAATGGGTAGGAAAAAGCAATGTGAGATCTCTTGATAACTTTTTATATTGATCACCTAATGAAATGAAAATATTTTAAATATATTTGGTTCAGGGGCGCCTGGGTGGCTCAGTTGGTTAAGCGACTGCTTTTGGCTCAGGTCATGATCCTGGAGTCCCGGGATCGAGTCCCGCATCGGGCTCCCTGCTCAGCAGGGAGTCTGCTTCTCCCTCTGACCCTCCCCCCTCTCATGTACTCGCTCGCTCTCATTCTCTCTCTCTCAAATAAATAAATAAAATCTTTAAAAAAAAAAATTAGGGCGCCTGGGTGGCTCAGTTGGTTAGGCGACTGCCTTCGGCTCAGGTCATGATCCTGGAGTCCCGGGATCGAGTCCCGCATCGGGCTCCCTGCTCGGCAGGGAGCCTGCTTCTCCCTCTGACCCTCCTCCCTCTCATGCTCTCTGTCTCTCATTCTCTCTCTCTCAAATAAATAAATAAAATCTAAAATAAAATAAAATAAAATAAAATAAAATAATTAAAAAAAAATAAATATACTTGGTTCAATAAAATATATCACCCAAATTTGTGTTATCTGATTCTTTTGGTTGCTCTTTGCTTGTCCCTTGCTTAGCTGCTGGAAAATGTAAGCTCCCGTATGTGGCTCCCATCGTATTCCTATCAGACAAGGCGAAATCTGGAGTAATACGCTCCTGGAGGCCAGAAGTGTGGTGCCCGGGGAAGGTCACGTGACATGGATGCGGGGGAGGAGGCTCTGACCCAAGCCCTGGGGAGCCTGGTCTGAGGCATAGGTGGGTGTGTGGGTGACAGGGGACTTCGTGGTGGGGAGTGGGGTGGGACAGGGAATGGACACGGGCAACTCAGCCAAACCCAGTCATCCACTTCCTTTTCCCACCACTTCCTCTTCAGGACTTGTTGACCCAGCAGATCCCCCAAGCCCCAAGATTTGGCAACGGCCTGGCCCTTCAGCCCACTTCCTTCCCAGGCAGGGCTACTCAACACCTCAGAGAGGCCACCTGGATCCCCACTCGCCGGCCTCCAAGTGTTTCTAGAAGACCAGGGGGGCCCAGCTCTTGGTTTTTTTTGTTTTGTTTTGTTTTTTAAAGATTTTATTCATTTCATTTGACAGAGAAAGACCCAACGAGAGAGGGAACACAAACGGGGAGTGGGAGAGGGAGAAGCAGACTCCCTGCCTAGCAGGGAGCCCGATGCGGGACTCGATCCCGGGACTCCAGGATCATGACCTGAGCCGAAGGCAGTCGCTTAACCAACTGAGCCACCCAGGCGCCCACGGGGCTCAGCTCTTGGAACAGCATCTCCTTCCCAAACCAGAGCAAGGGAAAGACCTCACTGCCTGCAGCCCACTCCCCAAACCAGGAAAGCTAGCATCTGACCAGGAACAGAGATAGAGAGAGGGGGGTGGGGGGAGGGGGGATAGAGGAGGAAGTCAAGAAGGACTTTCTGGAGGAGGCTGCACCCTGAAAGAAGGTATAATAGGGACAGGGATGATCGGGGCACCTGGGATGATCGGGGTACCTGGGTGGCTCAGTCAGTTAAGCATCTGCCTTCAGCTCAGGTCATGATTCCAGGATCCTGGGATGGAGTTCCGCATCAGGCTCCCTGCTCAGCGGAGAGCCTGCTTCTCCCTCTCCCTCTGCCTGACACTCCCCCTGCTTGTGTTCTGTCAAATAAATAAATAAAATCTTAAAAAAAAAAAAAAAGGATAAGGACAGGGATGATCTTTTAAAAACAGGTCTGCAGGGGCACCTGGGTGGCTCAGTTGGTTAAGCAACTGCCTTCAACTCAGGTCATGATCCTGGAGTCCCGGGATCGAGTCCCACATCAGGCTCCCTGCTCGGCGGGGAGTCTGCTTCTCCCTCTGATCCTCCCCCCTCTCATGCTCTCTATCTCATTCTCTCTCTCAGATAAATAAATAAAATCTTTAAATAAAAAATAAAAAATAAATAAAAATAAAAACAGGTCGGCAGCCAGAAGACCAGACAGGAAGCAAGGTAGAGACCCAAGTCTGGGAAGAGGGGGGAGCTTCTACTTGGAAGGGTGTCAGGTGGGAAGAGGGTGGCCTCCAGCCTGGGTCCCAGGCACAGGCTTGGTGACTTCGTGGACAGTAGGGCTTCCCTGGGATGGGGATTTGAGGGGAGGGGAAGGCTTGGGAGAACATGACAAGGTCAGTTTGAGTGAGGTCAGTGGGTGCTGAGGCCACATCCTCCAGAGAGCTGTGAAGGTATCGGGTGAAGCTGTAAATGTGGGCAGCATGCTGGAGAGAGAGAACTCCAGAAAGCCAACATTTAAGGGCCGAGGAAGAAACTCTACTGATTGGAGGTGGTAGGAAAGGGTCGTAGAGAGAGGACGCCCAGCTGTGGGAAGAGGGTGGGGAGGGATGTTGGCTGTCTAGCTAGAAAGGACATCCAAGATCCCAAGGGGCTTCCGGGGTGGTACCAGGCGCCTCCCCCCACCAACCTGAGGCTTAGGTCTCCCCAAAGACTGTGGTGCCTGAGGATCTATCCAGGTATCAACATTTACTACCAAAACCACACACAGCCCCTTCTAGAAGCCCAGCAGAGCACCTGTCCTCTGTGCTCAGACAGTGTCTTTATTTTTTTTAACTTATTTATTTACTTGAGAGAGAGAGAGAGAGCACACACACACACACACACACACACACACGAGTGGGGGGGAGGGGCAGAGGGAGAAGGAGAGAGAGAATCTCAAGCACACTCCGTGCTGAGCGGGGAGCCCGACATGGGGCTCGATCCAAGGACCCCGGGATCATGACCCAAGCCAAAATCAAGAGTCTGATGCTCAACCAACTGAGCCACCCAGGCACCCCCAGACCGTGTCTAAATAAAAGTTGTACCCAGGCAGACGCAACCATACTGTAGTAACAGGATCCAACGACATTGGCCACAATCGTGCAAGATCCCAGCCCAGCGCTGCAGGCTGTTCCCTGGGCTCAGCCTGCTCTTGCAAAGATGGAGGACAAGGCTATATCCACGTTGTCCACTTTGGAGGCCACCAGCCCTGCATGGCTCCTGAGCACTTGAAATGGGCCAGTCTGAATTGAGACGTGCTGTGTGTAACATACACACAAGATTTTGAAGACTTGGGGGCGCCTGGGTGGCTCAGTCAGGTAAGCAGCTGACTCTTGATTTCAGCTCAGGTCACGATCTCAGGGTTGAGATTGAGCCCTGAGTCGGGCTCCCTGCTGAGAATGAAGCCTGCTTAAGATTCTCTCCCTCTCTCTCTTCCTCTGCCCCCCTCCCCCCACTCACCTGCACTCTCTCTCTAAAATAAATAAATAGATCTTTAAAAAAAAGATGGGCATCTGGGTGGCTCAGTCGGTTAAGCGTCAGACTTGATTTTGGCTCAGGTCATGATCTCAGGGTTGTGAGATCGAGCCCCATGACGGGCTCTGTGCTCAGTGAGGAGTCCGTTTGAGATTCTCTCCCTCTCTCCCTGCCTTTCCCCCTGCTCGCACTCTCTCTCTCTAAAATAAATAAATAAAATCATTAAAAATATATTTTGGTTATATTAAGTTAGGGAAAATATAGTATTGACTATATTAATATTTTATATATTAAATATTGTTATATAATAATATAATAAAATATATTAATAGCATTATACTATATTATATAGTATTAATATTTTAATATAAATTTTTTATATTATGTAAGTTATGTTTTATATTATCTAATTGTAAATATAATTTTAAATAACATAATTATGTAACTGTTATTCATACAATATATAACTGTATAGTATATAATACTCATATGATATATCATTCATATAATTGTTTTTTTTTTTTAAAGATTTTATTTATTTGACAGAGAGAGATACAGCGAGAGAGGGAACACAAGCAGGGGGAGTGGGAGAGGGAGAAGCAGGCTTCCCGCTGAGCAGGGAGCCCGATGCGGGGCCCGATCCCAGGACCCTGGGACCATGACCCGAGCCGAAGGCAGACGCTTAACGACTGAGCCACCCAGGCGCCCCTATCATTCATATAATTGTTAACATAACATATTTTATCGTAAAATACATCACTATTATTTCATCTGTTTCTTTTAAATTTTTAAAGTTCATTAATTTATTTAAGTTATCTCCACACCCAACGTAGGGCTAGAACTCACAAGCCCGAGATCAAAGAGTCTCACGTTCCACCAACTGAGTCAGCCAGGTGCCCCTGGTTCTCCTTAATTTTTTAGTGTGACAACTAGTAAATTGAAAACTACCACGCGGCTCACATCATATTTCTGTTGGACGGTGCTGGTCTGTATAATATTTCTAGCCAATCCACACACAAGCACGCACACACAAAATACCAAACAGACATGTTTTAAAGTCATTTATAAATAACACAACGTTACAATGCTTATTTTTTTTAATTTTCATTATTCAAGTGCTGCAGACTAGTTTTCTCTTCTTTAAGATTTATTTATTTATTTTAGAGAGAGCATGCATGAGCAGGGGAAAGAGCAGTGGGGGAGGGAGAGAGAATCTTAAGCAGACTCCACGATGTGTTCAGACAGCCCCTCCTCCCAAAGCAGGGCTCAATCCCAGGACCCTGAGATCATGACCTGAGCCGAAATCAAGTCGGCTGCTTAACCGACTGAGCCACCCAGGGCCCTCAGACTAGTTTTTTGTTTTTTGGGTTTTTTTTAAGTCAAAAGGTTACATGATTGATAGAGCATTCCTTGAAAGGGCAAATTTGGAGAGTGGAATCATGGTTGCCAGGGGTCCAGGACAGGGCTGGGAGCGTGGAGGGACGTGAGGGTGACTGACAAAGGGCATCATCAGGGATCCTAGTGGGGATGAAAATGTCCTGCCCCTCGAGTGTATCAATGTCAACATCCTAGTCGTGATCTTATAACGTCATTTTGCAAGAGGTTCCCATAGTGAAGCAGATCAAGGGCATACAAGATCCCTCTGTATCATTACTTACAACTGCATGTGAATCTACAGTGATAGCAAAATTAAAAGTTCTTTTTTTTTTTTTTTGAGAAGTGCACACAAAAAAGCAGTTTGTAACAAAGTAAAAAGTCAAATTTCCCTGTGACCATCTTCCCCCCACCAGGTGCCCAACCAATGTTTTCCAACCCCTCCCAGCACGCCTTCCTCAACACCTGCTTTTCACCAGAACCCTGTAACATCTTTTTACCTCATGCATTTTCTCAAAACCCAATTAAGTAACACTTTAACTCTCTGCTTGTCTTTAAATCAGCTCACTTAGAAAAGCTTAGCCAGTGAATTTTGCTTTGTCCTTGACAAGAATACCTTTTGAGAGGCTCCTTTCCCCAGCTCTCTGTAAAATAAATACATCACTATTGTTTAAAGGTTAGACTGTTTCCATTTGTCTGTTTTCTCTGTATCCAATGTGTTCTATTCACCGACTCCCCCTGCACCCAGCAGACAGACAGGGCGCCCTTTGGGGGTGCTCCAGGGTAATACCAGTTTCTGCTTGTTTTCCAAAGCCCTTGGACAGAAAGAAAAGTTGAGGCTCCCTAGAGGGACCCGTTCATCCTGAAAGCGAGGGAGGACCAGTCTGGAAAAGATGGAAAGGAATGGAGGAGGGTTCACTCAAACATCAGCACCCAAGGGCTGGGGTCAGAGAGGCCAAGAGCAAAGGGACAGGTGGGAAAGGGGGAGCACTGAGCAGACGGTGGCCGGAAGACCCTCCCCTCACACCACATGGTTCTTCACGGCTGGGGTGTCCACCGTGGAGAGGGTGAAGGACCTGCTCTCCCTGCCCACAGACTCCTCGGTCAGCACCTGCCGGAGCGTGGCCGGGAGGGACTTGAGGAAGCGGGTGTGGAATCCCTGGGCTGCCACCACGTAGATGATGGGGTTTATACAGCAGTTGATGTAAGCGAAGGCCACACACAGGGAGTCCAAACTGGACACGGAGGTGAAGATTTCCGAGTTCCTGTGGAACAAGGCCAGCATCATCCCCGTCACCTGGTAGGGCAGCCAGAAGACGAAGAAGCTCGTCACCACCGCCACCACCACCTTGAGCGTCTTGGTGGAGCGGGTGGCGCTGCGGCTCCAGGTCCGGATCAGGAGGAAGGTGTAACAGATGCTGAGCGTCACCAGCGGCCACAGGAAGCCTATGACCAGCCGCAGGATGGCCACGCCCCTCTCCACCGGGAACCCACTGGGGCCGTAGTCCAGGCCGCAGATCAGCCTGAAGGGAAAGTGCTCCGTGCGCACCCGGCGGAAAAGGAAGGAGGGGATGGTCAGCAGCAGGGCCACGCCCCAGGCCACGCTGCAGGCCACCCAGGCCACCCACGCCCCTCGGTAGTTCTGGCACCAGATGGGGTTAAACACCAGCAGAAAGCGGTCGGCGCTGATGACGGCCAGGAGCAAGATGCTGGCGTACATGTTGAGCAGGATGAGAGAGGGCAGGATGCAGCAGGCAGCATTGCCGAAGGGCCAGTGGCCATACTGAACGATGGAGGCAAACAAGATGGGCAGTGCCAGGCAGGACAGGAGATCGGCCACTGCCAGGTTGAGAAACCAGATGGCATTGATGGTCCGCCGCACCTCGTAGCCCGTCACCCAGACCACCAGGGTGTTGCCTGGCACTCCCACCAGGAAGACGATGGTGAAGATTACCAGGGCAATCGTGTTGGAAACAGACAGCTGGGGGGCGCTGGGAGACTCATCCACAGGCATGTTGGGGTCCAGGGTGGCAGTCCCATAGTCCGGGTACTCCAGGGTGCTGTAATACGCGGAGGCCTGGGTGGAATCAGAGAGGCAAGAGGAGGATGAGTCTGCAGACAGGTGCCAGGGGCCCGTCGGAGCTCCGTGGCTGGAAGCCCCAGGTTCCTCCCCAGGAAAAGGGGGGTGTTAAGGACTGAGAGGCAGCTAGGGTGTCATACCACTTATAAGAGTGGAGTCTCCGGGCCACCCTGTCGCCTCCCCGTGAAGTCCCTGGACATCCCTATGATCCAGCAACCAAATGGTTAAAATGCAGTCCTGCTGCAACGTTGTAGTCACTGTCCATTGTGACTGGCCGGTACACAGGACACACTGCTTCTTAGCTATTTTTAATGTCATCGACAAACTGAGATGATATTACTGGGTAGTTTCCCCACGGCCACCCACCACCACCATCACCCGCTTTTGCTGCCTCCCACCCACTGAGGCAGCTCCGTGCTCCGTCTGGCAGGGGCTCCCCAGAGAAGGCAGTGGCTCAGCAGGGCCTCACATACTGGGGCACAACATTTAAGTGAGGGGAAAGGGGGAACCAAAGAAACTCAGGGGCGCCTGGGTGGCTCAGTCGTTAAGCGTCTGCCTTCGGCTCAGGTCATGATCCCGGGGTCCTGGGATCGAGCCCCGCATCGGGATCCCTGCTCTGCGGGGAGTCCGCTTCTCCCTCTCACTCTCCCTCTGTGCTCTCTCTCTCAAATAAATCAATAAAATCTTGGGAAACAAAAAGAATGATGGGGACATGTCAAAAGGACACGAGAGCCTGGGAGGGACCCCTAGTCAAAATTGAGCCAATTTGAGTATATAATGATGATGATGATGATGATGATGATGATGTTATGGAATGAAACACATTAATATATAAAGATTTATGAGTTCAAAATGATAATAAAAACAAGCAAACCCATTGGTCACTTTTTTCCAGAAAGGGAACAAATCAAGCATTTATCCTGCCATTTCGCACAGGGTACATTTCAGGGAAAGCAAGAGTCAATGTGGGAAAGTCTTCCTTTAAAGAAAAATGTAAGAATAATACCTGCAGCTGGAATTACAGAATTCAGGAAATAATGGGTCTGGATGGTGGCCATCAACATCTGATAAAACCCTCGGGTGAAAGACCGCTGGGAACTTTACAATAAACAGGCTGGGCTCATACCCCAAACCGGCTAATCAACCTCAGCATCCGGAGAAGAGAGACAATCGGACATTCTGTTCTATGTGATGTGATGCTTTAGAAAGGACACAGCCCCACCTATGAGTAATTCTTGCAAATGAACAAATGTGAGTCTAATCAAGGTTCTAGATCAAAAACTACCAGTCTTGGTGCACCTGGGTGACTCAGTCGGTTGAGTCTCGGTTTTGGCTCGGGTGGTGATCCCAGGGTCATGGGATTGAGCCCCATGTTGGGCTCTGTGCTGGGCGTGGAGCCTGCTTGGGATTCTCTCTCTCCCTCTGCCCCTCCCCCCACTCTCGTGTGCTCACTCTCTCTCTCAAAACGAAACAAAACAGAACTACCAGTCCACAGGAAAAGCAGGGGAGAGAGGAACATGATAAAAAACACCACAGGGACAAAATCAGATCACAGGAAACTCTACAGGACGAATGGTCTGTTTATTACCACAAATAAATGGCATTGTTAAAAAAAAAAAAAAAGAAGGAAAGGAAATTGTCATTGATTAAAAGAGACTTAGGGGGGGCACCTGGGTGGCTCAGTCGATGAGCATCTGCTTTCGGCTCGGGTCATGATCCCAGGGTCCTGGGATCGAGCCCTGCATCAGGCTCCCTGCTCCACGGGAAGCCTGCTTCTCCCTCTCCCATTCCCCCTGCTTGTGTTCCCTCTCTCACTGTCTCTCTCTCTGTGTCAAATAAATAAATAAAATCTTAAAAAAAAAAAAATAAAAGAGATTTAGGGGCATATCAAGCAAAGGTAATACAGAGACCTCATTTGGATCCTGATTGGAAGAATCAACTGCAAAATCAGACATTTTTGAGACAACCTGGGACACTCAAAAATGGAGTGGGTATTTGGGGTGCCTGGGTGGCTCAGTCGGTTAAGCGCCTGCCTTCGGCTCAGGTCATGATCCTGGAGTCCCGGGATCGAGTCCCGCATCGGGCTCCCTGCTCGGCGGGAAGTCTGCTTCTCCCTCTGACCCTCCCCCCTCTCATGTGCTTTCTCTCTCTCATTCTCTCTCTCTCAAATAAATAAATAAAATCTTTAAAAAAAAATGGAGTGGGTATTTGACAACAATAAGGAATCGGTGCTAATTTTATTAAGGATGATGTGGTTTTGTGTTTATGTTTTTAAAAAAGGATAAAGATACATAGCCAGTAAAATAGGATGTCTTGGATTTGCTTTAAAACACTCCAGCAATGAAGCGTGCCTGGCTGGCTGGCTCAGTCAGTACAGCATGCAACGCTTGATCTCAGGGTTGTAAGCTTGAGCCCCACGATGGGTGTGGAGATTACTTTAAAAAATTTTTTAAAGCCTTTTTTTTCTTTTTTAGAGAAAGAGTGTGCACGCATGCATGCATGTGAGCAGGAGGTGGGGGGGGAGGGGCAGAGAGAGAGAGAGAGAAGCCCAAGCAGGCTGCACACCCAGCCCGGAGCCCTACATGGGGCTCGATCTCACGACCCTGTGATTATGACCTGAGCCGAAATCAAGAGTCTGACGCTTAACTGACTGAGCCACCCAGGCATGCCACCCCCCCAAATTTAAAGATCTTTAAAAAAAAATTTTTTTTTCAAAAAAACACTCCAGCAAAAGAAATCGCTGGGAGGCAGGAGACAGGAAGGGAGGGGAGGACTGTGGGTGACTAAGAACAGCAAAACATGGATAACTGTTGAAGCAGGGTCATGGGTACACTAGGGTTCACAGTATCATTCTCTCTACTTCTGTGTGTTTGAAATTTTCCATAATAAGACAAAATAAAGAGTAGAGGGGTCCTGAGCACTTCTTCCCAAGCTGAGCTGCTGAGAATACCATGCCCCCCTAAGAAAGAAAGTGTCTGTGAGTCGCAGTTGAGCTGGAGAAAGCATTATAGGCAAATCCGTGCCCCAGAGGCACCAGACACAGCAGGAAAATCCCCCTGGAATGATTGTACAGAAGCATCCAGGATTTAGACAGCACTTATCATGTGCCAGACATAGCATTAGCTCTTCCAGTCCTGGCCACGCCCCCTAAAAGTTGGTGCCATTAATGTGCCCATTTTCTTGATGAGGACACGGAGGCACAGGAAAGTAAAGTAGCCTGTTCTAGGTCATGTGGTTAGGAATTCAAACCTATATAGGCTAGCACGCAAACCCCGGGCAGGCTGCCCCTGACCATTTCCAAGAGGGGCTGTGGACAGAGGAAGAAACTTCGGTGGTGAGCTCCGTGGCCCTTGGAGCTAGCCCATCCCTGAAGGCCACTTTGTCACCAACCCAGGGAAAGGAGACAGAGAGGAAGAGACATGGCTGCTACAGAAATCTCCAGAGCTGGACATTTAGCACACCTGGATTTGCAGGCTTTGGTTCATACCCACCGAAAACACCCACCTTGTGGATTATATAAGATGACCAGTGTTCGGGCCCCCAGCCAGCCGAGTGCCTGGCACTCAGTATGGGGACAAGAAAGGGCAGCCAATATGACCATTATTTCTTGGTGTTATGATGATTGAAGAGCTCAGATCTTTCCCTGAACCACTCTTTATTTCTCAGTCCCTTTATGTTGCCAGAAGGCGGGCCAGGCTGGTGGCCCTGGGGTCCTTGCTGGGGGACCTATATCAGGGATTACATCATTATTCAAAGGGAAAGTGTCAATGTCAGCTGAGATGGGGATGAGCAGGGTGTGGTAGGTCCACGCCATAAAATAGGATTCAGCCCCAAAAGAACGAGGTGGGCCACAGTGTAGGTATCTTCTGGGGGTGATGATGATGTTCTGGAAACAGAGCTCAGGGCTGCATGACAGAGCGAATGTACTACAAACACCACTGCGTTGTACAGTTTAAAATGGTGAATTAATTATCTGTTATGTGAATTTTACTTAATTAAAAAAAAAAAACACACGCCAGCTTCATGAAGCCAAGGGAAGGGTGAGGGATTGTTCCTCGCGAACGGGGACCACACAGGCAGGACAACCAAATGCCATGTGACATGCTGGGCTGGAGTCCAGAGCAGGAAAAACCCATTTGCCGCAAAGGGCATATTCGAACAACTGAGCAAGTTTGCTCAATCTGTAGCCCAGACAATAATATTGCACCAAATGTTACATTTCCCAACAATGATAATTGTGCTCTGCTCATGTCGGTGATGGTTAATTGGTCTTGAGAAATGAACACTAAGGTATTTGAGGGCCAAAGGGCATGACGCCTACCACTTACTCTCAAATTGTTCAGAAAAAAAGATGATAGATATATAGATCGATAGATTGATGATAGATAGGCAAATGATTGACTGATAAAGCAAATTTGGAGAATCTGGGTAAAAACTATACTATATGGGAGTTCTTTGTATTATTCTTGTAATTTTTCTGTAAGTGTGAAATTTTTTCAAAAGAGAAAGTTCAAATTGTTGAAATATTTCTATTGGTAAATAGCCCCTGCTGGGAGCCTTACCCCTACCATCCCCCACCCCCACCCCCCCTGCCTCCAGCACCCTGGCTTCTTCCCATTTTCTTCTGGGACCCACCCACCCCAATCCCCATGCTCCAGTTACTAAAGGGTTAATGCCAGGCACAGCAGGAGGCCCCAGGCCCCCCCCTTTCCCGCCCCCCCACCCCCTTAGGCACCTTAGGGTCTGCTCAGTATTGTGTGTCTGCCCTGGACCCCTAACATGAAGCTTTTGCCCGAGTGACTCAGACTCCAAAGGGGAGCATCGGTCCCCACACCCTGTTCTCATGCTCCCTACTCCTCTCATCAGCTGACAAAGCTCCTTCCTGGCATGAGCTCATGGGGCCCTTTTCCCTTCCCTGACTTCATGAGGGCAGGGAAAAAAAAAAAATGCTGATTCTAACACCCTGCCGCTTTCAGGATCCTCCCAGTGCAAGTGGC